ATATATGCCCAAAAATTGACGAGCGCCTCATCCCACAATGTCATGACACATAATATAATATATATGAATAGATTATGATACTATAACGAACGCCTGCAAACCGCCCACAATTACGAAAGAGAGGATGAGAGAAAGTTTGGAAGAGAAAGCAAGGGGGACAGAAAGAGATAGAGAATTAAGCTTATTATAACTGTGGAGTGTATCTTTTATCTAACGGCGGAAAACATTTTTGTTTTGTTTCGTGCATTGTACATGTATCAGTTTTATCATGTCTATGTTCAACTCTGTTAGGTCCAGATATCATTGAATAAATCGTCACCGGTGTCCGTGGTGTAGATGTTAGGCACTTTGCTGCCACAGGTAGAAGGCCTGAGTTCAGTTCCCGAGTATGACAAGTTTTTATCGAGTATCTCGGTCTCTCTGCTGGGATGTTGTGTCCCTCTCTGACCTGGGAGGCAGGATTGAGAGCCCGCCTCCTAAATGATCTAACTGGTGTCGAGGGGGGGGGGGCGGGTTAAAACCATTAACATAAAAACAAATCCCGCATTTCTCTGTTGCGTGTACGGTACCGTAACTTTTACCAAACGGCAGAAAACCGTGAGTCGATTCTTTGGTATATATGTATGAGCATTATTTGATTAACTCCTTTTCAACAGTGTCATGCCCAGTGCATAGGCCTACATTAGAATAATATTATAGAAAGTTTTGTCAAGAATAATCCTTACTTTTATTAATTATGATTTGATACCGTTGAGGGCGGACTGTTCTCTCTCATGGACTGCCAAAAGCCATAGTTTTAGCTCAATTTTTAAAAAGTCATTCGTCACGACCGGGTTGACGGATACGATTGTGGGCAGCAGCCAATCAGAATCATTATCATTGCCGGGTCAGGTTTTTAATTTTGATGTTCTGTCGGGATAAATTTCCCTTAAACAAACAGGTGTCGATATACTGTAAACTCCTTGGTGTCGATTGACTTAATGTGTACAGTGATCAGCGTCATTACCATTACCCAACCTGATCCAACTAATCTTGCAGTTTACCGATGGACACCCGTTCTGAGGTTGTTGAAATGTTGGTGAGTGAAGAGAAGCACATCGACATTTCACTTGGTTGGCAAGGAGCTTTACTTGGTGTTTACGGATTTTGTTTCCCGTGGATGTTGGCTTTAGAGAAACTTTGACGGTGAATGCTTTGCTTATTCTAAAGGGATGCACCCGTTTTCGTCCCACATCTTCGTCTTGTTTCTCGTTTTCGCCCCACATTCTTCTGCCACGATTGTACCTTGTTACGTCCCGCATTTGACGTTTAAACACTTCGTTTTCATAACTGCCGTTCACGATGACGAGCTTATTTTCCTCTCCCTGAGAGAAATTGTCTCTCCTGTCTCTCGGTGAAAATGTCAAAATTGTAGGATTCATGTGAATGCTCAGGCTATCGGCGCCTCCGAACTATTTTGCCCAAAGTGTAAGTAAAGAGGCGACGCAATATGTTGTTCTCGCTCTGTCCCTCTCTCTCTCTCTCTCTCTCTCT